ACTTTTAAAAGCATTCCCTATTAGTAAACAGCTCATCTTTCATTCCCAGCTCGTTCAATTTCTGTGCAGTACTGCTGGGATGGCCTCGCTGTCCTCTAGGGCACGGGAATTACCTCTTGCCACTAGCAACCCCCACCCCAGCCCTGCCTTGCAGCAGCAGCAGCAGAGGGAGAAAGCTAAGGAGCCTGCGGGAAGCGTAGGAAGGAAGTCATGCCTCCTGCATGCTTCATCCAGTTCAGAACAGCGGGCCAGACGTTACACTCCAAGTCAGAACGGAGGCCGACTGTATATTTAGGAATCTATTTCAAGGGAGTGAATGAGTGGCTATTTTGAGAAATTCACTTTTTTTTTAACTGTTTTAAATAATACTCTCTTTAAACCATTTTGATTTTCATTACCAAATCATCTAGAAAACAGAATGAAAGATACTTAAACCAAACAAATGACAATATGCTGCAAAATCATAAAAAAAAAACTATAAACATTTACAGTAACAATGAGTAAAAACAAAACAATTTTGCTGGTGAAAGTACTTTACCAGTAAACTATACCCCCCAAGCCCAAACTTTAAAAAAAAAAATTATTTTTGCTTTTGAAACAATATTGTATAGCCATTCCCCAGACTTAAAAGAGTATTTAATATGGCAAGTTTTCTCAAAGGTTTTTCTCTTCTATCACACCACAGCTAAGCAGCCTAGCGCTAGGCTTTGTCAGCCATGGCCGCAGGGCTTACTTAGTTCAAGTCCACTGAAGTCAAGGTCACCGGCTCCAAGGACGGCACATACACAGTCAGACTCACATGTTCTAGCTCAGTCTGCCAGAGAACCTAAGGCCTGCCAACTCGGTCTATTTCTACCACCAAATTATCATAATTACATGTTTACTGATAGGAACTATTCAATGACGGATGGCTGTGTTGGGAACTACATTAGCTCATCACAGACACTTCTGCTCTTCTAGGCAGGCTCCACTTTGAGGAGAAATTTTAATTAACGGTGCAAGGAGTACGCTTTCGCTAACTTCTTTTTTTATAGCATTATTATACAGCCAGTAACATGAACGTTTCACGGAAGAGTTAGACAAGGCCAAGACCAGGCAGCACACTGACCAGGGCTGGGCCACAGGCTCCCCAATTCCTTGGTATGACCTGATCGTTCTCTGGGGTCTCAGTCCCTCCGACCTTCACCCCCACTCTGTATCACCCTAGCACCGTAAAGACTGGACACACGTGCTGGCCAGGGGCAAGTAATTGGACTAGTGACCTTAGAGCAATTCATCAGTTATTAAATTCTCTTTCTGGAGTGTATAATTCCCTGTTGTTAGCACATTTATTCATAAGCTATGCAAACATTACGACTAATTCCAAAAAATGTTTACCCTCTCAGAAAGAACCAAAGTCATTCTTGTACGTACATGTTGTTAATTCTTTTGAGTACATCTAACTAGAAGAATTCATTAAAATTCAATCCTTTATTCTTCAAACGTGTCCCATCCTTCAGCCTCTTAACAACTCCTCTTTTCTTACAGACTTGACCATACTCGTTCCTCTGTATAAACAGAGTCAGTGCTGTGTAACCTTTGGGGTCTACTTTCTTTTTTTCTTCCTTCTTTAACTTAGTATCTTTTCAAGGTTCATTCACGTTGCAGCATGTAGTAGTACTCCATTTCTTTTATAGTAGTTTATTGATGGGTGTCCATCTTATTTATCCATTCTCTCATGGATCCAAGTTTGAGTCCACTTTGGGGGTATTATGAAGAACACTGCCATGAACTCACCAACACATTTTTGTATGGACATGTCTTTAATTCTTTAATACGCCTAGAAGAGCTGGGCTACGTGGGAACTGAGTTCAACTCTGAGAGAGAACCGGCCCACACTGCTACAATAATGCTTCACGGCTGTACTTTCCCACCAGCAGCAGATAAAGGTTTCAACTTCTCTAAATCTTCAATAACACTTGTTACCGTGTACCTTTTGGATACCACCCTAGGGGGTGTAAAGAGGACACTGGCTACCATGTATCTTTTTGATAATCATCCTAGCAGGTGTAAAGTGCAAACTCGCGGAACAACTCGGGACCTAAAACAGTACTAAGACCCTGGGAAGGAGGGAGAAACAAAATGCCCTTACTGTGAGAAGCGTGCAATTTAAAAACCGCAGTATCTGCAAGAAAGACTCGAATTCTCCGGCTAACTCGGCCATGCACAGCAATGCAAACATCAGTTTACTTATCACCGTTCTGCAGAAGATGCTAAGGGCACGCAGAGTGGTTGGTGCCAGCCTTGGGAGCAAGGGTGCGGCTGCCAGCAACACCGCACCCCACTCCCTCCTTCCCTCGTTGTGCGGAAGTCCATTCCCTACTTCCTCTCACTGCACAGAAGTACACACAGCTGCTCCCACTACACATCGGAATTAGCTTAAGCTTTCTGGCGACAAAGGCAGGGGAGTAAATGTGATAAATGTCAGAACTGTGACTCGAACGAGCAAGGCTTCCCATTCTTTTTGGCAGATACTCTCCCCTAAAAATAACCCCCTTTCTCCTTCACAGCTCCTTATGTCAGAAAAATTAAGAACTTTTAATAGACAATACTTATTCGCCATTAGAAAGTTTTACGCCAATAGAAGCCATGCTTTCCATAGTTACGTCTTCATAACCGCTTTTTATAGCTGAGTGCAGGGCACCGCATGGGGACAGGCTAACACACTTCTGGCGGAGATTCCGGAACTCCTAGTCCAGAACTAAGAAGGATGCCTCGCTGTGCGGAAGGAGTGGATCCTGTGTGCCCTGTTGTGTGTGTTCACCTGGCAGGAAAAGAGAAGTGCCACCCATCCCCTGCTGTCACTGGAGTTCTGGTGCAGGTACACACTCTGATTATAGACACACAGGTGAACACCCAACTCCTAGTCTTTTCTGTACAGATGCAGAACTGAAGCAATCACAGTATGGGGAGTAGGCGGCAGGTCAGGGAACCCACACATCTGGAATCTCCTCACCTCTTCCCGTCACTACAGAAGGTGAGGCAAAAGAGGAAGGCTTTCAACCTTTACATGAAGAACACACTTCGGCGGGCTTGGAAAGAGAGGGTGCCGGGCCGATTTTAAAACACATTTGCAGGAAAGGCTTCGGAGTTTTCTGCTTGGTTTATACACAGATCTGTACCACGGTAACATCTGCACATTGTGTGCGGCTATAAACGTTAACAAGGGTCTGCAATTGCAGTCCCTCAAGTTTAACTAGAAAAATGTCTGTGGGGGGACTTTTCAAAAGTAGAGCGAACTGACACAAAGATCAGCAGGGACCACCCAGGCACTGGTTCTCACTTCCAGAGTGATCTGGGAAGACTTCAACAGAACCCACCGGAGCCCAGAAAAGCAAAGTCTGAGAACCACTGCTATAGAGCTTAGATGACTCCCTAACCGTCTATAATAAAAGGCTGCTTTCCACACACCTACAATGTACCTTTATAATCCTTACATGTACTATTTTAAACATGATACGTTATACACCAATATATTGCTCATATTAAAAATACACGTAAAATTTTATAGGAGATAAAAGAAAATTATGCATACATATATGTGTGTGTATGTATATATGGTTATGTAGCTGTACATGCATATGGTTTTATATATCTAAGACGAGACACACACACACACACACACACACACACACACACACACACACACACACACACACACACACAAATGGTTAAGACGGGTCTTAATTTGTAGTCCTGGATGTCCTAAGACTCACTATGCAGACTAAGCTGGCCTGGAGCTCATAAAGATCCTCTGCCTCTGGGATTAAAGGTGTGCACCACCACGCTCAGCTTAAATATTTTTATTAAAAATAAGCTCTACAACGTGTGCTGCCACACCACCACCACTCCCAAGAGCACTAGGCTGACGACACTTTACTATGTTCATGCACCTACAGCACAAGTGATACTTCATCATCTCCAACACTTTGCTTTACATTTGGTGACTGAACAGCGGGCGAGACACTGCACTGGCTGCCTGGCTGTAAGATAAAAAGGACACTCTGCAAAGGCACATGCGTCTGGTAAGTCACCATACCAACTTTTACATTTTCATCTAATTATGGAAAGGTCCTTGTTAAGGTTCCGTTGATAAACCTGTCGTCTTCTCTGATGGATTTGTACTGAACAAGTCTGAACAAGGTGCTTCTTAGTTACTCTTATTTCTTCTCTTGGGAGCTCTCTGTTCAGACCCACAGCCCACTGTTTAACCGGGTCATTTTCTTGACTCTTTGCTTTTGGGGTTCTTTGTATATTCTGGATACTGATGTATCAGCTGTGGAGCTGGCAAAGTTTCTCTCCCCTTCTGTGAGCCTCATCTTCATTCGGCTGATTGTTTCCTTTGCTGGACAGGAACTTTTTAGCTTCGTGAGGTATCATTTGTCTAGTGTTGGCCTATATTTCCAAGCAAATGGAGTCCAGAATTCAGTTCCCAGCACCCTTATCAAGCGGTTCCAGGGAGCCTGACACCATCTTTTGGCCTCCATGAACATTCACAAACACATGGCATGCAAACATACACAGACACAGACATAGACAGACAGACAGACAGGCACACACACACACACACACACACACACACACACACACACACACACAATCTTTAAAAACAAAACTTCAAACAAATTAGATTTCTTACAAATAAAAAATAGCAGGACAGTTTGTAACCATTAAAATTTAGGAACAACTGGGCACTGGAGAAATGGATCAGTGGGTGAGTGTACACGTGCTAAGCAAGAATGAGACTCTGGATCCCAGAACCTGTAACTCCAGCGCTGCGAGGGCTGGAGACAGGAATCGCCGGGGATTGCTAGGCACCAGCCCAGACTTTCACCTTTCTTGAAGGTGATATCAAAGGATGGGGGAATGGTACTCTCTGTTTAAAAGCTGTAGCGGCAGAGGATGTGGCTGACAAGCTTCCTCTCACCCCCGGCACTCACAGACTTCTGTAAAAAACTTACTTCCCAATATTTTCTGGCAGAGACTGCAGTGAGATGTCATTTACAGAAAGACATGTTAAGTTCTGTAGTTCAGGAAAGCTCTCCGGCAACCTACAACAACAACAACAAAAATGTTAATTAAAAAAAGTAAAGCAGTGTAGGCCAAGTACAAATATAGACTCCTTCCATGTGGGGGTCGCAACAGCTTCTTGCAATACCTTATATTATGGAATACCTGCCTTGTCCTCCTATATATACTACTCCTGTAAGCAAAAACAAAAGGCTTTGTCCGCCAAAGGGAAGCACAGGCCATGTGGATACTTACTAGGGGAGTGATACAATCACAATCATAAAAACGGCAGATGTGCGTGCTCCAGTAAAGGGAAGGTGCTGTGGAGTGCTGGGTGTTCTCTGAGAAAGAAAGATGCTGCCGTGGGAGCCAAACTGCTGAGAATCTGGCTGGGTGTGACAGCACACACCTTTCAGCCCAGAGTTCACAGGCAGAGGCAGGTAGGTCTCGGTGAGTTCCAGGACAGCCAAGGCTGCACAGTGAGACCATGTTTCAAACAAAAAAAGAATAAATCCTAAGAAAAAAAAAACAAATGAAAACCTGCTGGGGGTGAAAATACTGCACTGATTAGAAGAAAACGCAGAGAAGATTGAGCTGGCCCACGGGCGATTAAGCCACAGGACAGCTGCTCCGTCCGTCTCCCCGTCGTCGCAGCTCAGAATGCCCAGAGCACAGGATTGCTCCACACTGACGGGCTGCCAGCCAACTGCTACTGTCTGGACTGCTTCTTTAGTTCAAGACGTCACTCATTTCAGATAATGTTACCGTTCACTACGTAGTCTACACAAATGTATGGCTCAAACACCACAAAATCCTAAGGATTCTGGAGGAAGATTTTAAGAAACATGTAAAGACGCCGGTAAGCCACAAGCGACGTGGCAAGGTATAGATTTATAGAAATGGGTTAATTTAAGATATAAGAACAGTTAGCAAGAAGCCTGCCATGGCCATACAGTTTATAATAATATAAGCGTCTGGGTGATTATTTTATACGTGGGTTGTGGGACTGCGGGACTTGGTGGAACCTGGAGAGAAGCCCTCCAGCAACAAGATTCCATACAAAATCATTATTTAAAACTTAGAAAGAAATTCTAGTTTCAGTATTCCTACAGTTACCTATATTTAGAGGGAAAATTGTGACTAAAGATAACAGAATCTCGTCACACCTAAAATGAGATGCAGCTCCCCGCCCTCGCCCACCCCACCCCACCCCACCCCCCCATCTAGCTCTCTCTAGCTCTCTTGCAACATGAGCAGACCTCTGGCTTTTGTAGTGAACTCTTGATCACTATACTTTTCCTTTGCTAGGTTTGTCTGTATTTTTTTTTTAAAGAAATCTTATATTAATGTTTTGACATTTAATACAGGTTAATTTCATAATTCAAAGCCCAATCCAGGCACCCAAGAACAGGGTACCAACAGGAATGTCTTATTATGCTATTGGGAATCGCTTGCTGAAGATAGTTACTCATAATTCAAAAGACAGAACTCACTTGATCTGTCTTGAGTTTTGCCAGACATACATATTCCTTTATAATCTTAAAAATACCTAAAATGTTCTGAAGGCAGGTAAAATGCTTTAGCTGGCTGCTCTCTGCCTTTCTCCAGCTGCTAACAGGAAGAGTGGCAGGCATGGACGCAGGATGGTGAGGAAGCAGAAGCCGGGTGAGGAGGTTCCGACGCTCTCCAACGCTAGCTGCACGGTCGAGACGTCTGTTCATCTAGCTGAGGCTTCTCTCCCCAGCCATAAACTAAGCGGGCCAAGCCAAGCAATTACCACGTTTCCCTCAGCTCACAGGTTACATCTTAATTCTTAGCATCAGGACACCTGCCAAATGAAATGGCTTTTCTCAAAGAATCCTGCCACGTTTGAGGCCAGGATAAAAACAGGAATGAAAGGCTCACATGAGCTGAGTGTATTCTCGCTGAGAGCGCCTTCAGATAATTTGTGGAGTCAACTGTTAGCAGACATTAGGAGGAGAAAAGCGGAAAAGCAGAAGGCAATTTAAGTGACTGAGTGGTTAAGTCTCGGCTGCACCACACAGCACTCCCCAGCTTGCCGGGCCATAGAAGCTGCCTGAAAGCTCAGTTTGCTCAGTTCAGTGAACACGTACTGAGCATTTCCTTCTAGAATTACAGTTGGAGTGGAGATACGATAATAAGAGAGAAATGCACGTCACTTCCTCACGTCCGTGCGGGAGTCTTCATCAGAGGGACAGCTCACGTGTGAATGTCAAGTGCTATGAAAACACAGCACAGAGTGGGTGCTGTGAAGGATGGGGGGAGGGTGGGCATTAGGGAGTAAGCGGAAAAGCTTTCTGAAGAGGCAGGGTGCTCTACCTGAAGTCTGAGGGAAGGTGAAAGGATCAGAACCGGGGAGGAGGGGAAGCTGAGAAATGAACAGAAGGGCTTCCTTAGTGTGCAGAGACTGACAGGCAGCCAAGGGCAATCAGGGTAGAGACTGTTCAGCACAAAGGCCCTGAGGAGGCTCTCAAAGCCACGGGGAGCACGAACTTATGAGGTTCTGAGGAAAGAATTGTGTGACGGTAACTAGGAAAGATGATGCACACGGCTTGAGGACAGTAAAGAGTTAATAAAGGTATTAGCTTTATATAACTCTTGATTATTATTTTTCAGTCATAAATGATAAGAGTATCAGTCACTGAAATCCAAAAGAGAGAAACCAGAAACACCATAAAAAATATTTAATTTTTGGAAATGAGATATGGGTAAAAACAAAATTAAATAGGGAATTGTTCCATACTCAGGGAGTCTCAATTTGAAATGAATAAGATAAATCCAGTTCAAATTCAAAGGGAACAGCTACGTACAGAGCCTTGAGAAATCTTACCAATGGACGTACCGGCCCTGAGAAACCTCCAGAATACACACCCAAGAGTTGTCTCTGAATTGCCATATGGGCACCAATTCAATTACCCTGGCGACAGACACTTGGAGGCAGGTGTCCGTGGACTCCCAACTCAGCTAGGCCACCAGGAAAGCCATGGTAATGCCCCTCCACCACACCCAGACAGTGTTCTGTGGAACCGGGAAGGGCGGAGCTGAGCTAAGCAGTAAAACGGGGCAGGTGGCCAGACTCGGACCGATAAACCTAAGGAAACCCCCACAGCTATTGCAAAAGTGGGCAAATAATGGTGTTAAAACGTTTTTTTTTAAATAGCTGGGCAGTAGTAGCGCACATCTTTAATCCCAGCATGTGGGAGGCAGAGGCAGGTGGGTCTCCGTGAGTTCAAGGCCAGCCTGATCTACAAAACGAGTTCCAGGACAGTTACACAGAGAAACCCTGTTTGGGGGGTTGGGCAGGGGGAGAGACCAACAAAACTTTTTTTGTGTGTGTGTGGTTTTGTATGGAAAGTGGGTATTATAAATGTTTCATCACTGGAGTATAAAAAGTAAGCTGAATAAGACTCCTCTGGCTGGGTGCATGCATAACTCAGTAGAAAGGTACCTATGTAGCCCCCAAGGTCCGTAAAGGAAACTGACTTCCTGGGAATCTCTCTAGCCTCAGTCTGATCCTGTAAGACAGGAGACGAACTGGGAATTTATTTTTATTTTATGTTGATGTTTATTTAGTGGCGCGCGCACGCACACACACACATACCCCACAGTGCACATATGTGTGGCATGGTGCATGTGTGGAGGTCAGAAGACAACCCACAGGAGTCAGTTCTCTCCTGATATGTGGGTCCCGGGCACTGAATTCGAACCGTCAGATTTTCTGACAAGTGCCTTTACCTGCTGAGCCATCTCATTGACCCAACTGAGAGTCTTGTTTAAGCTACAGCTCTTCACGCTGCTCAGAAATGTACTTTTTAACTTCTGCTTTATACAGTCCTCAGGGACCCCTTGTCCTCCTTACCAACGATTCCATCAGTACCAGTGTGCCCTCTTCCACTGTTTATTTATGGACTAAAAGTCCATCCTATTTGGTGGAGACAGTGCCCCATCTAGGCACCTCCTGGATGCGGCACTTGGCCATATCCTTTGCTCGGCTGTCAGACATGCTACCCTGAGCATCGTAACTAGAAATGGGAAGTATGAAGGAGGTTACCTGGTGAGGGGGTTTCCACTGAAGTCAGCTACCTGCAGCGCTTTACAGAAGGAGATGCTTTCTGGAATTTCAGGGATATCTAGAGGAGCAAAGAAAGTTCATCAGTGTTGTTAACATTTCCATCATGTTTAGGACCGAATACAATCACAAGAGAAAATCCAGACGCCATTACCTCATTCGAATGTGGCCCCGACTTGTCAGAACTATTTTCTACATTTTTTCAGAAAATATGTTCTGTAAGGAAGCACATTAAAAATGTATGGTCCCAAGGAGCACAGGTTCTGGGTTTAATATTTTAGCTCACACCACTGGAGAGGTGCCAATAGTTTATTTGGCTGATTGACTGAAGTGTGAGTCAAAAGACAGTCTGGTGTGAATGAGCTGGAGTGGTCTGATCCGCCTTGGCTTGGTGTGGATGAACGCAAGGCTCAGGGACACCGGATGGCTGGAGATGGGGGCACAGGGGACATGTCCTCACTCACACTGCAACGGACAGGCTTGTGAGAGGGGAACCAGCACATCTGAGGGGCTGTCACTGCTTCTCCCGGCATGCCACACCTTACAGTATGAGTCACAGCTGCTCAGCTGGAACACCTAAACACAATGGGACAGGTGGAACCCAGGGCAGCAAGGGTCAAGAGGCAGCAGTACTAAACCACCAGGGCAAGGTGAGCTCACTTGTCATAAAGGACAACATAGAAAAAGCAATGTTCATAATGGTCTGACCTGTGCAGCCCTCTGGCACTGGGTAATTAACCATCATGTTCCCAGAAGTGAAACGGACTTCACAGGACGTCTAAGTTCCTGCTTGAGCTATGTAAGCAGAAAAATTGTAGAACAGATGAATGGCTGTCTTGAGTCATAGCAACAGACATTCATGGCACCTTACCAATTCCCAGACTTTAGCTAGTTTAAAGACCCAGGACCCCTTGAATGAAAAGGAGCCCATGTTCCCTTGAGGAAGGACCCACTGCAACTGTGGAAAGGTTTGCTAGTCTTTTTTCATGTTTCACTCCCATCTTTCCCTAAAGGAACCTATGGCCTTTTATACTGGGGGAAAGGAAACGATCAGACCTTTCAGAGCCTATTAGACAGTGGTCCACAACTGACACTGATTCTGGGAGCCCCCAAAAGTATTGTGGCCCTCCAGTTAAGACAGGAGCTCATCCTGAGAGGATGATCACAAACTTAATCAAGTTGTGACTCCAAAAGCAGCTGTGGTAGCAGATGCTACAACATCATCCTTGCTGAAGTAGCCATTAATCTTACAGGTGCTTGATCTCAATACCTGTCCTTAAGGACCATGAGAGATAGGTCTTTTACTCTTCTACCTCAAGGGTGTTTATTATTCATTCTCCAGCCCTGTGCCATAACTTAGTTCACAGGGATTACGATCATTTGTCTTTTCCGCATGGTATCAAAACAGTCCAATCGTATTGATGACATATGCGGACAGGGCCAAGGGAGCAGGAGAGACCCACCACTCTGAACCTGCTGGTAAAGAGTATGCGCCTCCGAGGATGGAAACCAAATCCAACCAAACTTCAAGGGCCTTCTACTTCAGTGACATTTCCACAAGTCCAGCGGGGTGGGTTATGCAGAGACACCCCTTCTAAGGGGAAGGATAAGTTGCTGGTCCTATCCCTTCCTAGCACAATGCTGAGAGGATCTCCTTGGATTCTAGAGGCAGCACATCCCTCACTCTGCTGTGTTACTCTGGCCCATATACCAAGGGCCTTGGAAAGTTGCTCGTTTCAAGTGTGGCCCAGAACAGAAGGCAGCTCTTCAACAGGTCCCCCCACTGCTGTGGAGACTCTTTTTCTTTTGGGGCTCTGTGATCCGGCATGCCAGCAGTAACTGAAGCGTCAGCAGACAGGAATGGTATTGGGCACCACCCAGAAGTGGACAGCTGGGACAACGCTGAAGGGCAGTGGAAAAGGGAAATCTCTGTAATAGGTAAATCTCTGCATGGTGTACATGACTTGTATGGTTTGCTTGGAAGGAAATATGTTCTGTGTGCAGGGAAGCAGTGATTTGTGAGCTGTGGCCATGTACTGAACGGTGGGCAAACCAGGAAGATGCAGAATTAGAAAACTGATGAGAAAGACAGCTAAGAAAGAAATCTGTGGATAAATCTCTCCAGCTATGCAAGGAACGTGAAGACATTAGTGTCACATGTAAATTCTGAAAGGTTACGTCAACAGAGGAAACACTGGTAAGTAGATAGGATGACCCATTCTACAGACAGTAGTCAACCTCTTGCTCAGACAATCCCTGTCATTGCCCAATTCCACATGGACAAAATGGCTCTGGTGACAGAGATGGAGGCCATACATGGATTTAACAATGTATACTTCTATTCACAAAGGGAGATTTGCTACTAAATGCCAAACATGTCAGCTACAGAGAACAATACTGAGCCCCTGGTGAGCACTATTCCTGGAGTGGTAAGCCAAGGGACCTGGTAGCAGGCTCTGTCCTTACTGGAAGAATACCAGCTACTTCTGGGTGTGGATTTGCCTTCCTGCATGTAGTTCTGCCCAAATTACTGCCCATTAATGTACACAATGCCTTATCACAGTCACAGTATTCCATACAGTACTGCTTCTGACCACGGACTCAGTGGCTTATGCATCCTGAAGCAGTTGGCTTGACAAAAAGGTGGAATGGCCTTTTAAAGACACAGTCACAATGCCAATTAGGTAGCGATAGACTGGAGGCCTAGAGCAGGGTTCTCAGAGGCTACATCAGTATCCATTATATAGCATTGTTTCTCCTCCAGTCTGGGTTTTGGAGTCCTGGAATTAAGGGGTAGAAATGGGGATGTACCATCATCCTTGGTGACCCACTACCAAGTATGGCTTGACCTCAGGCTCTGTTGGCCAAATGTTTTGATTCTAGAGAGAGAAATGCTCCTCCTGGAGGCACAACTATTCCACTGAACTGGAAGCTAAGACTGCTCCCCAGCCACTTTCTCAACAGGCTGAGAAATGAGTTAGTGTTAGAAAGGATGATTCATCCAGGCTATCAGGAAACTTGACTGCTTTTTCCAATGTAAAAAGGTATATCCAGAGTAGAAGAGATCCATTATGGTGTCTCTTGGTGGTACGGCATCCTATGATTAAGGTCAGTGGGAAACTACAACTCAAACCAGGCAAGATGATAAATGGCCCAAAACTTACAGAAATGAGAGCATGAGTCACCTCTCCAGATAAAGAACCAAGCAAGACATGCTGAGTTGCTTGCTGCGAGTCAAGGAAATACAGAATGGCTATTAGAGAAAGGCAGTATAAATACCAGTTAAGGCCAAATGACCAGTTGTAGAAATGAAATTCTAATTGCTGTGAGGGTTTCTGTCCTATTTTGTTAATAACAGTCTTTTTAGTTGAATGTAGGATAGTTATATCATGTTAGGTAGAATTATGGCCGTTATTTTATTTTCATTTGGAAATTAAGTATGACATAAGGAGATACAATTAGGTATCAAGCTGACAAGGGGTGAACTTCTGACAACTAATCTTGATCATCCACTTCACTGGGTCTAGAATAAATTAAGAGACACACATCTGGACAGGTCACTAAGGGTAATTCCTAGAAAGGTTAATTGATGTTGGAAGTCCTTCCCCCAAGTGGATGGCACCTCTGGCAGCAGCCAGACATGAATCGGTCTAAGGGGAAACAATGCTGCTTTTGCCTGAATGCCTTCGCCCCCTGCCTGTGAATGCATCTACCCTGTTGCTGCTACTGCGGCCATCCTTCACTGCCATCAGAACCCAGCTTCTTGAGCCTTCCAACATGGACTGAATACCAGTGGCTTTCCAGGAATTCTCCAGGATTTCATCACCAGACTACAACTGCTGAGGCATCCAGCCTCGTGGACTGAGCCAGCACCAGGTTCTCAGCCTCTCCAAGGTAGATTTGACCACTGCTGGACTACCCAACTCAAATCACGTAAGCCAATCTAATAAACCCCCTTTGTAATAAATAATCTTCCTCTAGAGAGCCTTGACAAATACAAAACACCAAATCTGGGGGGAGGGAGAGGTGTCTGCCAGTTATTAATCTGATAGGAGATAAAGATTCAGAAGATATGAAGAACTCAAAATTAAAACATTAAATAACAAAACTACAAATGATCCAACTGAGAAGGGGGAGGGGAGGCTGACCAGACAGTTCAAATGAAGTATAAACTTCCAATAAATACAATGCTTAACATCCTTAGCCATCAGGGAGATGCACATGAAAATGAGACTTAAAATTCCATCTCATCCCATGAAGAAAATGTAAAAACTGCTGGTCAAGATGGGATTGGGGCTCCAATACACTGTTGGTAAAGGTGTAAAAGAACCCAGTCACTATGAACCCAGAATACTAAATACAGAACTACCATAGTCCCCAGCTACCCAGTGCTTGGATGGATATATATATATATATCAAAGGAGTCAGCATTCTGTAGAGCTATCTTTATTACCTATATTACTGCAGCCCTCTTCATAATAGTCAAACCATATAACCAGCCTACGTGCCTATCAATGTGTAAATGGGTGAAAAAATGCAGCCTCTGCTCACGCTGTAGTTTTATTCTGCCATGAGGAACAAAATGATGTCATTGTAGGAAAGTGGGTGGAACTGATGCTCACACAAGCGAACCAAGGCAGAAGCACAAGGACAAGTGCCACGGCTCTTCTCCCTTCCGTGGAATTTATGGGGAAAGCAACATGGAGGTGGGAGGGGTGACGACTAAACATGCTGGCCCAGGCTGGAACCCCAGCATCTGGGAGGCCACAATGGAAGATCACAAGCCTGAGCTACGCGATAAGGCTGAAGATATCTGGGAGAAGACAGAATGAAACCCAGCCTCAAAAGAACAAGAAAAAGGTGGGGGTGGGGGAGTGAGAAGTGGGACTATTAAGGATATGGAGGGAGGGAGGGAGGGAGGGAGGGAGGGAGGAGAATGAAAAGGGGAGGTGGATGTGACCAGTGTACATCATACACACGCATGGAAATGGAATGAAACCCATTATTTTGTGCAATTAATAGCTTCCAGTTTAAAAACCAACAAAAGGGATAAAAACACAC